TCCTTCCTGAGAAGGGTTGTTCTATTAGCTGCTTTGTTGTTGTTGTTGGGTGCCATTGAGTCAGTTCTGGCTCATAGTGATCCTGTGCACAACAGAACAAAAAAACACAGCTGGTCTGGAGCCATCCTCACAATTGTTAAGCTTGAGCCCATTGCTGCTGTCACTGTGTTAATCCATCTTATTGGGGGTCTTCCTCTTTTTCACTCACCCTCCACTTTACCAAGCATGATGTTCTTCTCCAGGGACTGGTCCCTCCTGACAACATACGAAATCTCATCATCCTGGCCTCTAAGGGGCATTGGCTGTACTTCTTCCAACACAGATTTGTTTGTTCTTCTGAAAGTCCTCAGAAACCCTCTATACAGTTGCTACGAGTCAGAACCAACTCAAAGGTACTTAACAACAACAACATGGCAGCATTAAGAGCTCTGGTGTGATGCTGTAAGATAAGCACTGGACTGGTTGGAAGTACCAGCTGCTCTCTGAAACTCTACACAGGGTCTTTATGAGTTGGAACCAACTCGACGGCACACAACAACAAGAAGGAGGCACTAAAGAGACCCTGGTGATACAATGGTTCAGTCCTCAGCTGCTAACCAAATGATCTGTGGTTCGAACTCGCCAGCGGTGCTGTGGGAGAACAGGCCCGTCAGTCAGATCCATAGTGCATAGGAAGCCCTATGGGGCACTTTCGTTCTGTCATATAGAGTGGCTACAATTTGGAATCAGCTTGATGGCATACACCAACAACAACTGGGATTTGGTGGTTCATTGGTAAAATTCTCACCTTCCATGCAAAGATCTGGGTTTGATGAGGGACCAACTTGACCACCTCTATAAACAACAAGAGCATCAAGGACACAACACATCTCCCAGGAGTTTTTTGGTAAACTTTGTGTTCTGTGCTGGAATGCATTTTCCATTAATCCTGGTTTTCAGGCTGACATATGAACACTGAGCTTCTCTGATGGACAGAAAAGGCAAACAGCAGTATTTCCCTTCCAGCTCGCCAGGATCTCTGATGTGCTTCCTGATTTCAGTCCTCTTCTTTGGGCCTTTGAACTCTGGGCCCTTGACTTTGATTCCATTACTGACTAAGCTCTGGTAGCGTAGTGGTTACGAATCGGGCTGCGAACCTTAAGGTCAGCGGTTCGAAACTACCAGCTGCTCCGTGGGAGAAAGATGAGGCTTTCTACTCCCGTAAAGATTTACACCCTCGGAAACCCTGTACAGGGTCGCTATGGGTCGGAACCGACTCGACGGCACTTAACAACAACAACAACACTGACTAAGAGCTTTGAAACTTCTCCTTTCCCTGGGTGGTACACTCTGCTGTTCTGGCTTCTGTGCTTCAATTCACACACACCATCGCATCTCACCTGCCAAGTCCACTCTCTAGCCTCTGTAATCAAAGGTGGCAGGTCCTGACTACAGTGGGTTTGTTGGTGAGCCCGTACTTCCAGGCTCAATGGGTGGTAGAGGTGGGGGGACAGGTACACCAAATGGAGGAGTTTGATTCTATTCAGCTGTAACCTCTGAACTTTATAGCACAGAGAGTGGAGAGAAATTTCTGGAGCAAGGAGCTTGAGCTTACAGCCCAGGGGGTACTGAAGCAGGTAGTGCTGCTCTCCTGTGGAGGGGCAAGGAAAGGAAAGCACAGTGAGCACCTGGGGCAGAGCTCCTGCCCTCACCTGCCTTGTGACCTCTGTCTGGTTCTTGTGGGGAATTGGTGGGTTACTGAAGAAATTAAGGCACTTTTAGCATGGTGGTGGTAGTGATTATGTGCCGTGGAGCCGTTTCTGATTCATAGTGACCCTACCCTGCATAGGGTTTCTGAGGCTGTAATTCTTTACAGGAGCAGAAAGCCTCTTTTTTCTCCCACAGAACAGCTGGTAGTTTTGAACTGCTGACCTTGAGACTAGCAGCCCTACTTGTAACCACTACACTACCAGAGCTCCTGCTTTTAGTATCAGTAATAGAAACCAAGATCTACTAACTCTGACCAGGGCAAACAACAAGGAGGAAATACTGGGGCATCTTAAGAAATTGAAAGACTAGCTGGACCTCCTAGCCTGGAAAGAGGGCAGGAAGTGAGGCAGATTCAGGGGTGTGAGTGTAGGCATTCATAGGGACGCTGCCCATACAACAACCTGCATTTTTCAGGTCCAAATTTCAACTTTCTGTCAGGCCATCTTGGATCAGGTGGTCATCTCTGGGTGGATTAGCTAGAGCTGGGGTGGGGAGGCTGACTTGGGTATTAACATCATGGTATTACTGTGACTTGGGATGGTATGATCAGTTTACCCAAATCCAAGCCACTTTTCGGAATGATCACTAAATTTACTTGCTTCTCTTAATTACATAGCTTTCATTGTCTGGTTTTGTTTTGCTTTTATAACAGCATGTTGAGAAATGCTTCATTTTGTCTAAGCCTGCTCCCTACTGTTGAGCTGGAAACAGAGGGGTGGAAAGAACGGTAATTGAGTGTGCGAGTAAACATGGTCTTGGTGTCATGTGAACTCTCCATCCCCCGAATCCCCAACCTTGACCAAATTCTCAGGGCAATGTAGAGAAGGCCTGGAAAAAACGAGATTAGGTTTCTTCTTCCCTAGCAGAAAGAGAGTAGGAAATTAGGAGTTAACTTTGAAACAATAGAAGTTTCGTTTATTGCATGCTTGTGTTTTTTAAGGTTCCATTGTACTTTTTTTCCCCATTCACTGAATTTCCCAAAATAAATGTTTTTTTAAAGTTTTTGTTGTGAATTGAATGATAGTTTACATGGGAGAAGATCATCTTTATATTCATCCAATTGTATTTCATTTCATTGCAATGATTACAATCCCCTCCATGCATCATCGTTCAACACCATTTGCTTCCATTCCCTCTTTTTTTAAAATTTTTTTTTTAATGTACACCGAAGCACTCAGGAATATATAACCATTCAAACAACCAAAAGGCACACCCTGCAAGCCTGCCCCCCGGTCGTCAGAACACAGCCCCTCTCCCTCCTTGAGTCCAGAGTTCCCAGCCAGTCTGCCTCCATTTCTGGCATCACTGTTTCTCTGGGTAAGGTACCGGACTCAATTTTTCTCCCTTGATGGTCCCAGTGTCCTCTGCTCCTGGATTGCAAGATCAACCACTCCCCTCCTTTTGTTACAAAACGTCTGCCTTTACAATTGCAACACTTACAGTCAGTCCTGATAGCAATTATTCACTATTGAACCACAAGAGTCTTATCCCCATCTCCTTTCACCAGTCCCATCCAGACAGGTTGAAAACTACTCAGTGAAGATTTTACCTTCCTCCGCACCCTCTGGATCTAGGCTCCTTCTTAAAAGCTTGTAGCCCAGTCACTTCTTGTCTTTGTAGCCCCTTCTCCCCTCCCCCCATTTTTGGGTAGCCAATGTCTAAGTTGTGCATCCCTGTCAACCCTGAGTACCGAGGGGGTGGGAATGATCCTCGCTGTAAAGATTTGTTCCCACTTTTGAGCTATTACATCTATAAGTATAGGTCAAGTTCATCAAATTGTATCAGATTACTCTTTTTTCCCCTCTTCTTTCTTCCTCTAGTAGAGTTCTGATCATCCAGCCATTGAAGCCAGGTTAAGTGGGTATTATCTGTAAGTATGGGTGTTCTTGTGCATCTCCTCTCACTTCATATCAGCTGGACGCTTCACTCTCCTCTCTAGTCCTCTGTGGCCATGTCCCTGTCCCTGGGCCCAGGAGTCCCCAGGTCTTGCCATACTGCTGGCCAACCAGGTCTCACTCCAGGTTGACAGGAGTCTATTGAATGTGGTTGGACTTAGCTCACAACTTCATTGCTGTTTCCCCCCACTTCCCCTTATCTGTAGATCGGTGTAGTCACCAGCAAGACCACATGCCTGCTCGTGTATTCCCCTTGAGTTTCAGTCTTGGAAGGGGGTTTGCCCTGAGGGGACCTGTTCCCCTGTGAACAATTTGCTTGGTCTTGTAGTAGTCAATCAGACTGACATTATTGTTTTTTTTTTATTTTTCCTGCTGGTCTTTCTTTCAAGAAATGTATTCTGTTCTTCTAGCCATGCCAGGCTGTTTTGCTCATCCTTTCAAGTGGAAATTTCCCACCTCAGAAGATTCTGGATGGGGATCAGGATTCCACCTATGGGTCTTATTGCATGCTTGTGTTTTGGATTGAAGGTAACCTCATTAGTCTAATACCCTTCCCCTGCCCTGCAAAGCTTTGTGTAGGAGCTGTTGTTGTTAAGTGCCATAGAGTCAGTTCCGACCCATAGCAGCCCTGTATAGGGTTTTCGAGGAGCAGCTGGTAAACTTGAACCACCATCCTTGCAGTTCCAACAGCTTTACAATCTGGTGCATTAACCCACAGAGCCACTTGTGTAGGAGCTGAAGACTAGCATTTTCTGGAACCATGGCACCCGGAGGAAGAACAAACAGCAGGAGATCAAGCAAAGTCTTTGCAATAGGGACACACAATTACTGACATATGATTATTGGGAGCCTCATTCTCATCCTAGCTTACTAAGAAAATAGTATGGATAATAAGTGGGGGAAAGGTCCTAGGACTGATATTAGAAAAGAAAATAAAAATGAGAAAAGAAATAAATCTAGAAAAGGGATATAGTTGGAAGGGTAGCTCTAGAGCTCCATGGGGCTATTCATGGATAAAGACCCAAGGACCAGAGATGGCAGGGCTGTTTGGGAGCTGAACATGGTAGGCACGTTGCTATAAGGTCAAAATTGAAATCAGTGTGGGGAGAAGGTTGCAAAAGATGTCTTTCTGTGGGTGCCCTCCCCCTTCTCCCATTGGCATTTCCTCCAGAGATTGAGAAAATATTCAAAATTGTTTTAATGACATTGTTGTTGTTTTTTAATCACAGGCCTGTTTCTTTGAATGTGACTGTATTAGCCAAGACCACAAGACTGCCCATGTTTTCTTAGGGTTATGTATTTCTTTCCCAAACCTGGACTTCCACTGAGGCCTGATCATCATATAGAGTTGGAGAACTAACGCTCAATTTTCTTTGGTGTAGTAATGGAAACCTTGGAGGGCAGCAAAGGTAGGTTGGGATCCTTGATGTATTCTTGGACCCAGCTGTCATTGGGGTTGGTGCAGATCTCTCGGTTCTTTTTGGTGATGAATCTGTGGAGGCAGAATTAGACTTTTATGGGCATGAAGAAGGTTGGGGGTCTAATCTACACTCCCCCACTTCTTGTTCACATGGATGTACCTCATGGTGTTTACAGTCTCCCTAGTCACCTCAGAAGGCCTCCCTCTATGGCCTGCAAACCTTATCATTCCTCTTTCAATCCTTTCCCTACTCAGCCTAGAGTCGTAATGAAGCTCGGACTTCATGATGATGGTGGTGGTGTGCTGTTGAGTCGGTTCTGATGCATAACCACCCTGTACAGAGTTTCCGAGGCTATAAATCTTCACAGGAGCAGAAAGTCTCATCTTTTTCCCTTGGAGTGGCTGGTAGATTCGAACTACTGACCTTTTGGTTAGCAGTCCAATGCATAACCACCGTGCTACCTGGACTCCTCTTTTATGGCCAGCATTTACTGGGCCATAAAAGTGATAAAATCAGGAATTAAACCAAGACTCCTGAGATTCAAAGACCAAGTCCTTAGCCACCCCACCACTCCTAGCATGAAGACCTCTTGGTCTGGGCATCCCATTCCTGCTCCCAGACTCCCCTTCCCTCTGCAGTACTTACATGATTGCTGGCACATGACAGTTGAGGGCCTTTATGTATCCCACCACCAGCTTCCTCAGCAATACTTTATCATAATACTTAATGCAGCATCTGCGTTCTTGGTTCACCGACTCAGGAATTTCTGAGGGAATCACAACAAAAGTTGAATCAGGAAGACAGACTGTGCCTTCATTCCAGGAATGGGGAGTCTGAATCTAAACAACCCTTCCTCCCAATGGCTGGCATGTATTGGTTGGCAATCATGGCCCCTAGAAGGAGTCCCATTGGGATAGTCAACAGGGCCATTTGGAAGATCCATAGCCATCTTCTCCATACCCCAACCTAGAATTAAACTGTCTGGAGTCTGGAGTCGCGGTGTGGCGCTGTGGGTTAATGCGCTGGACTGTAAAATTGGTTTGATCTGCAACGTCGGTGGTTCAAGCTCACAGTAACTCCTCAGAAACCCTATACAGGGTTACTATGGATCAGAACCGACCCGACAACACTTAACAACACTTTTCCCTATAATCTCAAATGGTTCACTTCAACCTGTTTCCCCAAACTTGTTTTGTCTCCCTTTCCCAGAACACCCACTGCTTTTCTTGTTCTCTTGCCTTGCCTTCCCCTTCATGGGATACATTTGTCATTGTTCTTTTTTTGCTACTTCCCTGACTCATCCTAAATGATCATTCCTGATCTCTATTCTTGGGACTCTCTAAGTTTGGAACCCTTGACCCAGCTCCCTGAAATGGCTCAATTCAGAGGCTCCTGGACCACAGTTAGTTCTCTTTACAGAGGGTCTGCCCAGGGGTTATTTGAGGACAGTAGTTGTGGGTAAATGTGGAGAGAGGCCCCAGGACAGATGAGGACAGACACCTCACAGGGCTCTTGGTGTTACCTTGTGGCCAGTCACCTGTTTGTTCCCTTAGTTATGCCTGCCCTACATGGACACACGGACTCACTTGACTGGCTGTGAAAAGCTGGAATCATGGTGAAGATGAAGAGGAGCAGGACAGCCACGGGAACCTTCATCCTCTCAGTGGGGTCAGACAGCTCCAGGGGAGAGCTGAGCGTCCTTCTTGCCGCTGGTCATCTGTTCTCCAGCCGCCAAGTTCACAGGACTTTGACCACTTTGGGGGCTGGTGGAGCCTCTGAATAGCCTGTGGAGGGCTGGACCTGGCTCAGAGTGATTCATGGGTGGGGTGCAGGGCATGGAATAGGGGATGGGAAGAATAGATGCTGTGTGCCAGCCACTTTGCATGCCCCGTTAGATTTCATACAGCAGTCCCATGGAACAGAGGTCATTATTATTACAGGTGAGGCCATGGAGGCTTGCTGTTGTTATTGTTGTTGTTGTTACATGCCATCACGTCAGCTCTGACCCATAGTAACCCTGTATAAGGTTTCCAAGGAGCGACTGGTGAGCTCGAACTGCTGATCCTGTGGTTCAAACTGACTTTGCAGTCTAGCGCATTAACCCACAGCCCCACAGTAGGACTGCTGTTGTTAGTTGCTGTCAAGTCCATTTTTGTTCCTGGTGAACCTGTGTGTTATCGAGTATATCTGTTCCATGGAGTTTTCTAGGCTGTAATGTTAAAAGAAGCAGAATGCCAGAACTTTCTTCTGTAACTCCATCAAGTGGATTCAAACCACCAACCTTTAGGGTAGCAGTCGAATGCAAACCATTTGTGCCACCTCAGCCCCTTACTGCAGCCCAGAGAGGATCATGTGGGTAGGAGAGGGAGTAGTGAGTGCTAAGAACCAAATTCATTTGATTTCATCATGATGCTGGTGAAGTCATTGCCACCATCTCTGTGTTAGGAGAGAGTGGTCCTCAAGGTGACCTTCTGTGGGAGGCTGGGCGTTAATCTGGAGCAGAGAGAGTACAGACTGAGGCAAGCTTAGGGTTTAGTGGTTTCTGAGAAGGATGTTCCCCTCATCCCATGAGAGCATACCATCTTGAGTTCACAGTCTCTCATGCCAAGATTATGCCACTAATATTCTGAAGAAACAAGATGACTGCCCCTTAGGTTCCCATTTGGTTTATTTGTTGATGGTCTCTTATCTCTTTAGACCTTGGACCCTTGATTGATTTTAGATTTAATCAGCTGATTGGGCAACATACAGGTTATCCAACCCTGCTTTCTATGGCTAGCAATGGAGATAATGATGTTTATTTTAATGGATTGTTGTTGTTGTTGAGTGCCATTGAGTCGGTTCTGACCCACAGAGACCCTGTATAGGGTTTCCAAGGAGCGGCTGGTGAGCTTGAACCGGGACCTTGTGGTTCAAACCAACCTTGCAGTCCATCACATTAACCCACAGTGCCACACCAGGATTAGAGATCATGATATTGATTCAACACACACTTACACAGTGCTCTCTCTGTCGGGTACATTTCTAAATGTTTTATACATTTTAATTCATTTAATTTGATAATAATGATAATTTATCAAATGCTTATATGCTAGGCATCCTGCTAAATTTTTAGGTATCTTATCATCACAAAAACTTTATAAATTGGATCATATCACTTTCATTTTACAAATTAGGAAATTTAGTCTTCAAGAGATTAATGAGTAATTTACTGGTTGCAGTGTAGTTAGAACTCAGCCTTTGGCCTGTCTAACATGAAAGTTCAGGACGCTTCACAATCACCCTATACAGACAGAAAGTGGCTGGTGCTCACTTTCTTTGGAATATTGGGTGCCCTGAAGTCCCCTGTGTACTGTCATGCTACTGTATGTGACAACGAGGACAAGCCAAGGGTTGAGGGAGAAAATGCAGTCGGTGCTTGGGGAGGCTCCAGAGGAAATCCGTTCAGGGGACCCAGTCAGGCTTCTTTTCCAGTCAGGGAACATTCCGAGGAGACTGAGGATATTGGGGTTTTACCATGATGGCTTATGAGTCCCAGAGGCCTAAGGGAAGTGTTTTAGGAGTTGAGAGTACAGGGAGGCAGGGGCAGAATAGGGATTGGGCAGATGCTTATGGGCGTACTTCTTAGTGTAACCTCCTCATAAATAGGTAGCACATATAGAGTATTAGTTCTGGTGGGTTCAAGGCAGTTAGTGGTAGTACAGCTTGGGTTTTTCATAGGGTATTAGGATACATATTGGGGTACCCTCTTGACTTATGTGGAGGTGAGGAGGTCTAGCTCTATCTTTAGCACATAGACCCCTCTTGACCCTTGTCAAGGGAAGGCTTAAGGCCTGGTGAGCATCACTACAGTCTTGGCAATGGGCATGTGGTTATTCTGAGTACTTGGAGCTCCTCCTAGATTCTTGAAGATGGATTTGAAAACTTTTGGAAATGCCGAGTGTTATTCTGGGAACATAGGTCTCCTCAATTCCTGTCTTATTTCAACCATCCATCCATTTATCCCCTGAGTATGGGCCTTGTATGGTGCCTAATGGGAGTCCTGGTGTGGAGCTTTAAGATAAGCACTTGACTGCAATGTTAGTTTGAACCACAAGGTTGGCAGTTCAGATTCACCAACCACTCTTAGGAAACCCTATACAGGGTTACTATGAGTCAGAACTGACTTGACGGCACTCAACAACAACAACATGGTACCTAATGTAGTGCTAGGGTTTCAGCTAGGCTTTGTGGGGAATACAAAGATTACCAAAACAATATAGTACAACCGAGTGTGTACACGTGGTGTGGGGGTGAGGAGACAGAATTGGATAAACTATGTGCACGAATTATTCCTATTCCAAATGTTACTGCTGTTCAGTGCTGTCAAACTGGTTCCAATTCACAATGACTCAGTATAGAGTTTCCAAGGAGAAGCTGGGGAGTTTGAATTGCTGACCTTGCATTTCAATCGATCTTTTGGTCCGGTGCTTTATTCCACAACCCTACACCAGGACTCCCCTATTGAGAGCTGATGCCCAGCCTGAACTCCTCAATGTCCTCAGTCTACTGACGATACATAAATCCAGTAGAAATGAATGAGGGCAGGTAGGGGCATGGTGGTCTTCCATTCAAGGAAAGGCAGCTTCTCAGGAGGGACCTGAAACTTTGAGTTGGGAGTGGGAGTGTGAGAAATGGTGTGGCTATCCCATACTGCCTTAGTTCCTCTTGGCAACTGGTGGGTCAGTACAAACCCTCAACTAGGACCTTACCCCATTGGGTCTTCAGAGGGAAAACTGGGGTGGACAGCCTTATCCCATATGAAGTCACTGGAGAGTTATCATGAGCGTTTACCAGCAAACCTCAATAAATCTAATCTGTACTCCTTTTAGTGAGAATGAGGCTTTATTATTTGATTTTGCAAAATTAGGTGCCAAACCCAGAAGACAAGAGAGATAGATTTGCCTCGAGGCTGTTTTACAAGGATCTGTTATCTCCTACCTCAAAAGTCCTTCCCCTTTGGGGGTGAGCAAGGACTTTTGCCTTTTTCCTTTTGATGGTTACATACTTATTTTAAAGTTTCTCCTTCTTGAATGGGTTCATTCTCCCTCCCTTAATTTATCCTGTTTACACATGCCCCAGGTGAGGGCTCCTATTCTTATACCAGCCAACAATTTCAATTAACAACTTCCTGGACCTTTATTTCTGAAGATGGACCATCTTGACAACGATTTCTCACAGAAGGGAGACCTTGGCATCTTTTTAAGTTTTTCTTCAGGTCCTTGATATAGTCCTGGACCCAGTCATCATTAGGGTTGGCACAAAAAGAATGATTCCTTTTGGTGGTGAAGCTATGGAACAAGAGCGGGAAGCGTTAGACACTGACTGATCTGCAGCTGGGAGGAGAAACCTATCTTCCTCCCTCCCAAACTCTCCCTTCCCTTAGTTACAAACAGCTCAGGGCCAGACCTTCCTGAGGATTGCAGACCATCCTCCACCCACTGTAATCCTCACAAGAAGTGTCTTCCTGCCTCCCCTCCCCTCCCCCAGTGCTTCTCTATCCCTTCAGGCAGCCTCTGTCAAGCTCCCTACTACAGGCACCAGCTAGGTCAGAAAAACCCCCAAGTTAGCCATCAGCGGATTCTTCATGTCCACACACTTGGAAGTTGCCCTGGAGAGATATCCATTCCATGTTTTCTCCCTCCTACTGGCTCCCTCTCCCCAAGAGGGGTGTCTGGGTGCTACCTACATAACTCCAGGCATGGCGCACTGGCTGCTGGTCTCATAATAATGTGAAATCCGGACTCGCGGGATAGGGTGGGTAACAAAGGCGAAACAGCACTCAGAGGGACGGTAAGGTTCTCCTGAGGAAAAAGCAAACAGGAAGGAAGCTGAGACCTGTGGGTTAATGACTGCAAAGTCAGTATGAACCACAAGGTGAGTGGTTCAAACTCACCAGCTGCTCCTTGGAAATCCTATACAGGGTCCCTTAAGGAGAATAACAGAAAGAAGAGAAGGGAAGGAGGAGGAGAAAGGCTCAGAACTTGGAGAAAGGGCTTTGGAGAAACTCAGTCCTCTCTCTCTGGCTCCACATTCCTCCTTCACCACCAATCACCCTCCTTCCCTTTCCTTGGCTGACTTCCCATTGAAGCATGAAGAGCGGTGAACACAGAACTTCCCAGTGAGCACACACTATCCCTTGTGCAGTAGCAGAGAAGATAAGAGACTTGGTCAGGGGCACACAATCTGCATGCCTTATTGGGGAATGAGGTCTCAAATAGGAGGGGCATTTGGAAGAAACCACTGGGATTGGAGACATGTCATTTGGGAATGCTGACCCAGCCCCTCCCTGTCTCCTCATCCTGTTGTGTTCCCATTGGCCCCACACCCTGCAGAAAGGGAAGGGTGCCCTAATACGGCCCAAGGACCCTGGTCTGGGAGTCAGGACATCCCAATTCTAACCCGGTCTTGCCTTTACTGGCTTTGTGCTCATGACTCCTTTGTTGTCAGCTGCCATTGGGTCAGCTTCACGCACAAGGAAACGGTATGCTTCCCTGTCCTGCTGCATCCTCATGCTCGGTTGTGGATTGGACCATTGTGATCCATTGAGTTTTCATTGGCTGATTTTCAGAAGTAGATCATCAAGTCTTCCTAGCCCATCTTAGTCTGGAAGCTGTTGCTGAAACCTGTTTAGCATTGTAGCAACACTCATGTAAACCCGTGGTGGCTGCTCATGAGACGCGTTGGTCAGGAACCAAATCAGGTTTAGAAGGTGAGGTTTCTACTACTGCCCCGTGACCACTTTATGAGGCGACTTCAAAAAGTTCATGGAGAAATTCCATTATCTTTGAATTCCATTCCCCCACAAACTTTTAGAAACCTCCTTGGACCTCTCCTCTTTTCTCAGTTTTCTCCTCTGTCAATGAGGCCCTGGACTGAATCAGTGGCTTATAAACTAAGCTCCCTAGGGTCCTGGAGGACTCCTGGTTTTGGCTGTCGAATCAGCACTGCACTGTGAACCGCAAGTTTGGCAGTTCAAACCTACCAACTGCTCCTCAGAAACCTTATACCCGGTTGCTATGAGTTGGCACTTCACAACAACAGGGTCATGGGGATACAGAGGTGCTTAGGGACTGTCTTGGAGGTGCTGATACATTTGAGACAGAGGAGTCCTGGGTATTGTACCCCATCCATCTCCCTTCTCTGTTTTACTTATTGGCCCTCAAAGTAGGGTTTTGTCTGGAAAAAAGGTTCCATGGTTTAAAAGTTTTAAAAATAACTGATATAGGTGATTTTTCAATGACTGTCCAATTCTGAAAAAGCCCCTGGGTGGTGCACATGGCTAAGTGTGCAAATACTAACTGAACAGTTGGCAGCGGGAGCCCACCTAGATGTGCATTGGAAGGAAGGCCTGGCAATCTGCTCCTGAAAGATCACAGCCATCGTAAACCCTCCGGGGGTACCATGCCTTACTCTGCACCAGGGGTTACCATGAGTTGGAACTGACTTGATGCCAACTGACTTGCTTTCTTTTGGTTTTCCAATTCTAAAATGTCATGACTCTTATAGGAAGTGTGTGGGGTGACAGCAACATTGCCCTGAACTTTGAAGGTACAGAAGGACAAGAGAGGAGGTCTCCACACACATGAGGACATACAGCGGCTTCAGAGCAGAGGCACAGGGCGTGTGCATCTGGACGTGAGTGTGTGGGCATGTGAATACAGCATCCTCAGAGGTCCCTACGTTGGACAGTGTTTGGAAGGAAAAGGCACTGTGACCAGCAGTACCCCTGACATGGCCTTACTGGACAAAGGCTGGAATAGAGGCTCTTAAGGTCCTGAAACCCAGTCAGAGCTCTGAGTCTCCCCATCTTATTTCTCTGAGCTGACAAGTGGTCTTTCAGAGAGCTAACCAACCTCCTCATATCCCCATTCAGTTAACAACAAGCAAAACCATCAAGTCTATTCCGAACCATCGTAACCTTATAGGATAGAGTAGGACCATCCCACAGGGCTTACTAGGCAGCTACTCCCCAGAAACCTTGTACAAGATCGCTGTGAGTCGGAACTGGCTCCACAGAACTGAACAACATCAATCTTTATGGAAGCAGACAGTCACATCTTCCCGCGAAACAGTTGCTGGGTTCAAATCATTAACCTATCCGTTAGGAGACAAGCATTTTAACCACGGTGCTGCCAAGACTTCTCAGAGCATCCAGCACGTTAGACTCAGTTTATTTGACAACTGTGGTACCTTGAATTTAATGGCTATAACTTTTCTATCCAGAATCTTCTTAATTCCCATCAAGAGATTGGGTGGGACCATGCAGTTAAGGGGTACAAGACTCTAAGGCTGGGATCGGTTAGCTTTGCCATCCAGCTAGGTTTAAAAGGAGCCATTTCAGGAGCAGGGACAGATGATTCCAGAACTATCAAGAAGGAAGAGCATGAGTGGAGCGTGAGATCCTAGGGAGGGCAGAGGTGGTGGCAGCTGCAGGCTCTAGATCCATGGACTGAGTAAAACTGAGTGTAAGAATGGCTTGCAGCATATGCCTTTTGGGTATTCACAGACTGACTAAAACACCCTCTGTGACACTTGCAGGAACAGGGCAGAGGATAAGGGCCACAAGGCTGAGAAGCCAAAGATAAGAATGAAGCATACCTACAATAAGGCAGACACGAGGCATTCCTGACTGCAGAACTGCTGCATTCTGAGTTTTTCTGACCCTGAACTGTACCCTGTTCACTTCCCTAATAAACATCATCATGAGATCTGTATGGGTTCTGTGTGGCCATTGCAATGGAAGGCCGAACCCAGGTGTGAAACAGAGAGTGCTGTGGGAGGAATGGCTGGTGTCAGAATAGGGGAAAGAAGGTTGTAGGGTGGAGGCATGTCTGACCTCTGCTTCATAGGAATCAGCCTTGGGCTGATTTTGAGTTTGATTCTCTTTCCCCCTTGTGAAACCAAGGGAAATCAGACATGGTCCCACTAGGTTATTGAGATGACCTTCAGTGTCCCCTCACTCCCGAGCCTGTGTGGCACTTTTGATCAGCTACTAACCTAAAGTTTGGTGGTTTCAAACCACCTGGCAGCATAGTGGTTATGAATTGGGCTGCTAACCTCAAGGTCAGCAGTTCGAAACTACCAGGTGTTCCGCAGGAGAAAGATGAGGCTTTCTGCTCCTGCAAAGATTTACAGCCTCGGAAACCCTGTACAGAGTTGCTATGAGTCAGAACCGACTTCACAGTACACTGTCACCAGCAGCAGCTCGGTGGAAGAAAGACCTGGTGATCTGATTCTGTGAGATTACAGCCAAGAAAACCCTGTTTTTGTGAATTACCGTTGAGATGGTTCCCACTCATGTTGTTGTTAAGTGCCATTGAGTTGATTCCGACCCATAGCGACTCTGTATAGGGTTCCCAAGGAGCAGCTGGTGAGCTTGAACCACCAACCTTGCAGTTCAAACGGCTTTGCAGTCTGGTGCATTAACCCACAGCGCCACACCAGGACTCCTGTATAGGGTTTCCAAGGACCAACTGGTGGGTTTGAACTACTGACCCTGTGGTTCACAGCCCAGTGCTGATCCTACAGCATCACACCAGGAGTCCAGAAAATTCTACAAAGCAGTTCTATTCTGTAACACATGGGGTTGCCATGAACTGGAATAGACTCTACAGCAGCCTGAGTGTGTGGCCCAGGCTCTGGGAAGGAGACAGGGAATGCAGAAGGGTGCTAGGACAATGGCCTTGGGGGTGTCAACCACTGTTTCTTATCTCTTAGGGTAATGTCCTCCAAATGGGGTGTTCACTCTTTTGCTAAGTGGCAAAGAGATGACAAGAGGGAGAAGAGAGTAGAGAGGCAGGCTGAGGGGAAATAGGGAGTGGTCTTGGGGAGGATGAGGATGAAGTCAAGTTAATAAGACCCCAGACTTCCTTCTGAGCCTCCAGCCCCCTAACTCCTGCTCCTTCTCCACAGGGGCTTGGTGGAAGGAAGGTGCGGTCTTAGACTCACTTGTTGAGATTTCGTCCTCGGACTGGAGAGCAGAGGTGGTGAGGAAGATGACGAGGAAGGAGACTGAGACCGGGAGCACCTTCATCCTGCTGTTGGGGAGCCTGGCAGAAGCAGAGCTGGCCTGGACTTCTGAGATTCCTGGGCGAGGAAGTGTTGAGAAATGATCCTTGTGGCAAATGTTCTTTAAATTAAGAGAACTGAGAATTTAAAGGGAAGTGGAATTAGTGATACCTCAGTGATGTCCTATGCTGCTCATTTGTTGAGGGCGGAGTGACGGAAGCACAGAGGGCCAAGATTTCAGGAAGGAAACTGCCCTCGTCCCCATGGGGTTCCTTAGGTGCAGACTATGAGCACAGTGGCTGGGGCACTGCCTCAGGCTGAACAATTCAACAGCTCAAGGCTGGGATGTAGCCTGTGTCCAATTCCAGTTCCAGGTCTCAGAACAAGGCCATAGAGGGACTGGAGCTCCCATGGAACTGTGGGTAGCAGGTCAGATTTGACCCCAGCAGGTCAAGTCTCACCAATCCTGGCTAGGAAACCCTCACTTATTTCCATAAAGGAAATCTACAGCTCCTAGCCTTTCCCCTGTACCCCTGCACCATATCCTGGGATAAAAAAGAACTATGATGCTCCACAATGTATTTAACAACGCTTATAGAGTCCTGGTGTGGTACTGTTGGCTAATGTGTCAGACTGCAAAGCCATTTGAACTGCATGGTCAGTGGTTCAAGTTCACCAGCTGCTCCTTGCAAACCCTACACATGGTGGGTATGGGTTGGAATCGACTCGAAGGCACTTAACAACAACAACAACATAGTACTTACTTGGCACAAACAGTTGAGAGTGCTCAGCTACTAACTGAAAGGTTTGTGGTTTGAATTCATGCAGAGGCACCTCAGAACAAAGGCCTGGACATCTACTTCCTGGAGATTCACAATCCTGTGGAGCACAGTTCTACTCTGACACACCTGGGTTTTTTGTTCTGGTATAAACATAAGCCACTGTCCCAAATGCATTATCAGCATTCATCCATTTAAGATTTACAATAGCAGTTGAGGAAACTGAGGCACAGATCACAAAGACAACTGGCCCAAGCTTCGACAACTGATAAGTGGAAGCAGTATTTGAATTCACAGTCTGGTTCATAGGTTTGTGCTTTTAACCACTATGCTAGAAAACAGCATGGGGAGTCCCCACTAAGCCCCCTTCTCTACGTTGCAGATGGCATGGCTTTTCTACAAAGCCTGCAGTTTCAGCACCTTCTGAGTTTAGATAGTGGATCCTTCAGGACTTTGTTCTGGTTTCTGAGAGAATTCTGTTTCAGGGATGGCTAATAGACATCACTGACTAATGGACCTCTGTGTTGGAGACTATTCGGAGGCTTGGTCTACGCACATCAGGAAGGAGTGCTGTGATTGGTGTATGGTTGTATTTTAAACTTTGTCCAGTTGCATATTTCTTTTATAACTAAGCAGTTTTGATAAGACTTCTTCAAATATTTAACACAAGGAAAGGAATAGCCCATGTTGTATATATTTGAAAAGGCAATTCAGATTCATTTTTAAATTCTTTAAAATTATTTTTTGTTTAGTAAAGAAATAGATACGTCCCATAAAAATGACAAGCAATGTTGGAATTATGGAGTAAGGAGTGAGAGTTCTTAAAATGTCCCCAGTCAGCAACATTTTCTTAAAATGTCCCCAGTCAGCAGCATTTTCTCAGATGTTATTAAAAATGCCGATTCTTTGGTCCTACCCCAGACCTACTAAATAAGTTTCTGAGACTGCAACAGTCTGTGTTTTAACAATCCCTGCAGGTGATTTTTACATATGCTAAAGTTATTCACGGAGTCCTGGGGTGGCACAGTAGGATAAAAAAGCAAGGTCGCTTTGAACCTCAAAGTCGGAGGTTCAAATCCACCAATCACTTCTTGGAAGCCTTATTCAGGGTCGCTATGAGTCAGAACTGGCTCAATGGCACTTAGCAACAATAACAAAGTTTCAGAAGCCCTGATCTATAGCATAGCTTTCCGGTTGATGTACTGTAACTTACTGATAGTGTCAGACTTTTTGAGCCCGATTGAGGCCTGGGAAGGCCTAAGCCCCAACCTGGTTGCCTGTAGTGTGAATGTTATGACACAGTAGAACTGCCCTATAAGGTTTTCTTGGCTGTAATCTTTATGGAAGGCAATTGCTAGGTTTTTCTTGTTCAGAGCTTCTGGTAGGTTCGAACTGCCTTTAGACACCACCAGGACACCTTCCAGTATGAATGACTTTATCTTTTCATGCTAGCGTCCTAAGGTCATTTAGTGATGCCCCCTGAGCGTCATATCTTAATCTGTTTTCAATCCTCTCTCTACAGACTGAATGTACTTGAAGAGCAGGAATCTCGTCTGCTTTGTCCTCACTGTTTTCCTAATGCTTAGCACAAAGCATAACGAAAGATAAAGTAGACCCTCAATAAACACTTATTTCAAGGACAATAAATTTCTGTTTCAGGATTTCAGAGAAGAGGAGATGATGGGTCCTTTTGACTGAGATGATGAATGCAGATTTTATGGAAGTATCTGAATCAAATCCCAGAGGACGGGTTGACTTGAGAGAAAAAGGTGTTTCGGGCAGAGAACACTGTTCAAAAAAAGGAAGGAAGCAAATGAAACAGAACTTGATGCTTTTGAGGAACTGTGAAATAGGGCATGTGAGTATTTATGTAATTAATCTAGACATTGCATGCCTGTTTCCTCCAAGACCTCAAAACCCCTCTGCCAGTGACCACATGCTTGACCAGACAGAAAAGGTTCAGTTTCCATCCCTCTTTCCAGCTGAGCTTCTATTGTCATGACCCAAGATCCTGAGTAGGGACACATGGTCCTCCATCATACCACTTAGGTGCTCAATGGATCACCATTTCATTCTTTTGAGCTAACAACTTGACCTGACAAAAAACCAAGTGAAACGACACACATCCCTTTCAGTTTACCTCCAATTACTCCTGCATTGATCTGCTCCATGATGACTCAATATGTAGCAGCGTAGACAAGAGCAGAACTGTGCCTTCTAGGGTTTTCAGTGGCTGAATTTTCAAAAGTGGGTCACCAGGACTTTCTTGTAAAGTGCTCCCGAGGGGACTTAAGTCTCTCATTTTTCAGTCAGCAGCTGAGTGTGTCAACTCTGTGTGCCACCGAGGGACTCTTCCCCCTGGGTCTAACATAGTTTTAATCCAATAACTCTGTGAGTTTTTCCTTAAGCCTTTGAAGCAGAATTTCCACAGAGAAGCCCTAAGCTGCTATTACCATCCCCAAGACATGTATTCAAGTCTCAGAGGGCTGGTGTCAGTCTGGAGTTTCTGAGCTCCACAGAACTCAGTGAAGGAATGAGATCAACAGGTAAGATCAAAATATAGGCCAGAACACTGAGCGCCTGTGTGCTCCTCTCTTGCCTCCCCAAATTCCATTGGAATAACAAAGGAAATTGCAAAATGCAAAATTAAAAATGAATCTAGAGTAGCAACAAAAAGACAACAAAACAAAAAACCAAATCCACTGTCATCAAGTCGATTCCGACTCACAGAGACCCTCTTTAGGGTTTCTGAGACTAAATCTTTTGAGGAGCAGGCAGCCTCTTTCTCCCTTGGATTGACTGGTGGGTTTATGGAGGCCTGGTGTGGCACTGTGGGTTAATGCACCAGATTGCAAAGCTGTTTGAACTGCAATGTCAGCGGTTCAAGCTCACCAACTGTTCCTCGGAAACCTTATACAGGGTCGCTATGGGTTGGAATCGACTCGATGGCACTTAACAACAACAACAACAACAAATGCCTAACCCACAGGTGCTAATAGGAAATGAGACAAGATGACATTAGCAGATGATAAGGAGGAATTTCTGCCCAATAAAAAGGATATGGGTCAACTTGATGGCAAAATATAAGAAGGCTGAGAAAATGTGTGTGTTTCTATTTGTGAAGAAAAGATCTTTGGAAAGGAGGGTGTCCTCAGCAGAAAATGGGATAACCCAGAGACTAGAGTCTACGTGTGCTGGAGAAGAAGCCCGAGTCTTGTTAGTTCCCATTTCAGAGCAGTCAGATGTGGGGTTTGCCCTAGAACAACATTGAAGCCCAGTTTTCTAAATACAAAAGGATATCTACTAGGGAAGTCTTCCAGAGTGGACAGTGGACAAAAGAGAAAATCGAGCAATTTTATTGCCATTTCTTGTTCCTCTTAATGTACAATGAGAGGGATGTTGGCAAACAATGATGGAGGCAGGGGAAGACTTTGGAAGAAGTAAAGGAGTTAAAGACAACAGAGTTAAATAGTATTTTATACATAGTCCTGCAATAAAGGACTCCAGGTAGCTTGCATGGATAAACATGCAGGCTAAAAAGATCTGGGAGGAAGAGTGGGAGTGGAGTATACCTAAGAATATATATATATATATATATATATACATATATAGTTTTAAAAGAGGGTGTTTGTATGTGGGTGCTTACCTTTGCTGCAAATAGATCCATGAATGTGGTTGAGCATTGTTGTTGTTGTTCATACAGGGGACAAAATTATAAAGATTTCTTAGACATAACCAAACACCTTGAGGGAATGAGATGCTGGCCTGGAGGCGCAGGACCCTAATCTTGGAGGACACCATGGTCAACTGGCATAGTGTAGTCCACAAAAACAATGTTCTACATCCTACTTTGGTGAGTAGCGACTAGGGTCATAAGAAGTTCATGAGCAGCCATCTAAGGTGCAACCGTTGGTCTCTCCCTGCCTGGAGGAAAGAAGAGTGATAAAAAGCAAAGATGCATGGAAGCAATTAGTCTAATGGCTATAATAGACCACATGAACATCGATCTCTATGACCCTCCATGAGACTAAAAGATGGTGCCCAACTACCACTACCAACTGCCCTGAGAGGGATCACATTAGAAGGTCGTGGATAATGTGGGAGAAAAATGTGTAACAAACCTCAAAATCATAAAAAATACCAAGCTTACTGGTTGGATAGAGACTGGAGGAACCCTGGAGACTATGATGACCCTTAGTCACACTTTAGGTCTGAAACTGAACTCACCTCCATGGTTCAATTTTCAGCCAAGCAATCGATAGATCTTATAAAGGGAACAATATCACTAGAAAGGTACGCACACCTTAGAATCATCACCCATTTGAGGTCAAAAGGGAGCGTTTACTCAAGGACAAAATTCAGAAGGGTTAGGAGAGAAAGAGGAGTAGAAACCAGAAGCACAGGGAGAAAGCGGGCTGAGTGATGTTACATTGAGGGAATTGCAATCAGTGAGATGAAGCAAATGTGTACAAGTTGTTGAACCGGATGATCTGCTCTGTAAACTTTCACTTAATTCACAATAAAAAGTTTTTGTTTTTTTACCCCCCAAAACCCAAGTAGAGCTGAATAGAATATTCTTTATTAGATGCATTGCTTTCATAATTGGAACGAAACAATAAATGTCATTTTTGAAAAAAATTTTATTCAGACTGAGAAAATCCTAGAAGGTACTTGGGACAAGAAAATTGGAGATTGGGTGGTGTCTTGGGCTCCTTCTGTTCAGTAGGTTTCATTGTTTCAGTTTCTTAAGGAGTGAGACGCTCCATGCAATACTGAAAATGTCTACTGTTAGGGTCGACACAGATTTGTTTCCCCCTCTTGGTGAGGAAGCTGTGAAGCAAGAGGGAGAAAGATTACAAATAGATGTGTTCAGCACATAAGGTAAGAAACCCATTCTCCTACCTTTCAGATTCCCCACTCAACAAAGTCTGTTTTTTGATGTTTTTTTGTTGTTGTTGTTGTTGAAGTCAGCTCAGGATTTGTGTCCTTTCTGATACCTCCCTCAGCCTCCCTTTGTGACTCGTGGGAGTTTTCTTGAGCAGGCTTCCGGCTTTCTCCTTCATTCGCTTCCCTCCCCCTGCTTTGGGAGCATTTCCTATCTGCAGTCCTGCGGGATGCTAAGAAGGATAGTAGTTGACCTTTCCCAGGGAGGGCCAAAGAGGTGGAACTTCCTGGATCACCATCCATCAGGCCTCTCCCTCTAGGTTTGCAGATGTGTTCCTCAAAACAAGGATCCCTGGTGGCACTTTAGGACAAAGCACTGGACTGCTAATCAAAAGGTTGACAGTATAAATCTACCAGCTGCTCCATGGGAGAAAAACGAGTCTCTTATAAATTTTTTAAAGGAGCTCTGGTAGTGTAGTGGTTACGAATCGGGCTGCGAACCTTAAGGTCAGCGGTTCGAAACTACCAGCTGCTCCGCGGGAGAAAGATGAGGCTTTCTACTCCCGTAAAGATTTACACCCTCGGAAACCCTGTACAGGGTCGCTATGGGTCGGAACCGACTCGACGGCACTTAACAACAACAACATAAAGATTTAAAGTCTCAGAAGCTCTATACAGGGCTGCTGAGTTGGAATCAACTCTATGGCAGTGGGTTTGTGTTTTTTCTACCCAATAGGAGAGCTTGGCACTTACATGATACCTGGGCGGGGGCACCAGCTGCTTGTATCAAAATATTCTGTCATGAATGCACATGGGATGTTTCGGGTAATGTAGGAATAGCAGCACTCAACAGGATGGTAAAAACCTGTAGAAAGGAGAGACTCATATAAGGGCTGAGACAGTTTTTGGAGACAACTAGATATTTGCCCCCGCTTTCCTGAAGTGTATGGGGAGATTGAGAAGGTGCAGGACTTGAAAGGATGGTTCCTTTCTTCTCTGCTGTAGTTCCTGGCATCCCCTTGCTTCAGACTCTCCCCAGGATTGAGCTGGGTGTCTGAGGGCACCTTAGGTAGGTCACAACAGATCCAGGACTATGCCTTTCAGAAGAGGAATGATTTGATGCTTGCAGGAGGCATCAGAGAGCAGCTCTGGCCCCAGGTCAGCAGAAGCCAGGGGCAGTAAGTGGGAGTAGAGGTGGAGATGCCCATCTTCATCTTCCTTGGAGATGTTCCCACCCCTGGGTCCTCTCACCTCCTCCTGTAAATGGATCAAAGACATAAAGCACACCTGTACCTGCCGGCTCTTTTAAATATGCTCCATAGCCAAATATTTACCTTGTTCATACTTTAGGTTTGGATGTTGATGATGTACCATCCTGGATTCTTGTATTTCTGAATTTGAGAGAAACATACAGGTCAGGGAGAGGAATCACTGTAAGGCAGCATCTCCACCCACCCATTCCAGCATTGATGCTGGCTAACCCACCACCTATTTGGGGTCCAGACCTGCCTCCAGGGCCATTGTTTCCATTAGGGTCCTGAACTATTTCAGGGGGCTTTGAAAATGTTTGTGACAAGAAAAGCATTCTATTGACTCAGACTACAAATTCAACATGAATAAATTAGTTGACTGTCTATCTCATGTGATAAAATCCACAATCCTTTATCCATATTTCTGGAACCAAGAGTTCTGAAAACCAGAAGTCTGTTTGTTCATTTACTCACTTGGTTGTAGAACCCGAGGTGATATGAACCCCTTTGGTGATGCCATGTTACCTGAAATGACTCAAGGCTATTTACAAGTTTTATTTTCCCCTCTTGGTATAGATATTTGTACATGTTTATAGCAGAAATATGAAATATTACTGTGTTTAACTATATTTCATGTTAGGTAATGTACTGGTATATGTTACCTTTATAAAACTCCCCAAATTTTGCATTCCAAAATATATCTAGTCACAAAGGTTTGGAACTAGGAACTGTGGACCTGTATTATGCTAATTAGGTAAATGCAACTTCACATAGCTTGTTTCTTATTCAGTTATTATATATGCATTGTATGTGGGTATATTTTAATATTCTTGATATAATGTGGGTTGTTGTTGGTAAGTGCCATCGAGTCAGTTAGGTCTCCAAAGAGTGACTGGTGCATTTGAACTGATGACTTTGCAGTTAGCAGTCCAGTGCTTATCCTACAGCACCACACCAGGGCTCCTACTGTGGGTGGGGCCTGCAAAAACAACATCAATAGTAATAACAAGGAAACAGATTTTGAATGGTCTTGTCTTGCCATAGCTTTCCTAAGTATCTCATATTTAACTTCACCAATGGTGTGACTTGAACAAGTTGTTTAGCCTTCCTATGCCTCAGTTATCTCATTTGTAAAGTGAGAATAATAAATTACTATTATGCAAAATGATAGAAAATTGCTTACGTTCTTTTTTAAAATTATGCAAATGGAGATTTCATATCTCTCAACCTTATGGTGCTATAGAATCAGCACTGGACTGCTAATCACAATATTGGCAGTTCAAATCACCAGCCATTCCTCAGGAGATAGATGTAGCTTTCTGCTCCCATAAAGATTTACAGCCTCAGAAACCCTATTCAGGATTCCTGTGGGATGACTTGGGAGTCCTGGTGGGTTTTAACCTAATAACTACTTCACAGAGCTGTTGTTGTTAAGTACCATCAAGTTGGTTCTGACCCATAGGGTTTCCGAGGAGCAGCTGGTGAGCTTGAACTGCCAACCTTGCAGTTCAAATGTCTTTGCGTTCTGGCACATTAACCCACATCGCCACACCAGGACTCCCCACAGAGCTGTTAAGAGCATTCAATGTTTTAATAGCTATCAAATACTTAGACCAATTCCTGACACATAGTGAATAGATAACTATTTGTTAAATAAATACATACATACATACATACATACAAAGGTTAGGTAACCTTCCCTGAGTCATTCCTCCTGGCAGTCCATTTCAGTTTTGTTGATACTAGCTGGAAGGAGTCCTAGGGAAGCTGTACTTACACTCTTACTTGGCTCCTAGGAGAGGTGGGTGATTTCAACCCACCACTATTCCATGGAAGGAAAGCTATGGCTGTCTGCTTCTGTAAAGATTTTAGCTGTGGAAACTCCATGGGGACAGTTTTACTTTGTCCTCTTAGAGTCACTAGGAGTTGATTCAATGGTAATGGGCTTGGTTTTGGTATGCTAGATGCTAAATAACAACCCTAACATTATAAAATTCTATGATTGTGTTAGGGTAAGGAAACAGGAAGAAAATTACTGAGGAAAATTACAGGTGGGGCAGGATATAAACCAGAAAAGACACCATCTCCTTACACGCCCCTGGAACTCAGCGGGGCTGTGAAAACCCAGCTCCCTATTCAGGTACCACAGCGAGTTTCTGCTGTCTATGGCATGTCTCCCCTGCAGGCATTCTTTTCCCATAGTCTATAAACCTCTTTCATGACTTTCTAGTCTTCTGTAGCCCAATTTAGTATTAGCTGTTTCTACAAATCTAAATTTTACTATAGCTCATTTGATCTAGGATTTAATGGTCTTATATCAGCTGGGAGAAAGCATCAAATATGTCTAAGAGAACTAATTGTTTCTAGTGGGAACAATCATCCCTGTACAGATTTCCCTGGGAACCAAAGTCTGCAGAGGAAGACAGGGTCTACTGCTGCCACTGCTTTTACATTTAGGCTCTAATCACGACTGGGACAGGGAGCTAGCTCAGGAGGTACAGGGGTCCCACCACATCACCAGACCACTGCTGCACTCACCATCTTTGATCTGGACCTGGGATCCTAGGTCAACAGCCAGGATGAGGAAGGATAGGATAGCCACGGAGACCTTCATCTTTCTGAGGGCAGACAGAGATGGCTGAAGTCTTCCTGGGCTCCCTCTCTGCCCCAAACTCTGCCCCTGTCTTTATAAGAAGAGAAGGGTCAGAAAGTCACAAGGCAGAAAGCACAGGAATGGTCAGCATGCCATTCTTTGTAACAGTCAGCATGCTATTTCTAAAAAGGGGGAACAAAGCTGGGAATCCAACAAGAAGTAGAGGGCAAAGATAATTTGGGAGTTTTCCAACTGTTCTAGTGGGTACAGACTAAGAGGATAAAATTTTAAAGACAATGTTTCCCTCTAGGAGATTAATTTTATCTGTTAACTAAGCCAGTTGCTCCTATGAAACCCTATGTAGGGTCACTATGAATTGGAACCAACTCAGTGGTACTTAACAATAACAAGACTTGTTCTGAAGGAGAAACCATGAGCAAAGCATGGTGGTGATGGTGGAGGGTGACCACCTCAGATTCTCTGGCTCAGGAGTGAGACTCTCTAGATACTCTCTTGTGTCCATGTCCAGTTCCACTCCTGGAGTCACAATCAGAGAGAACTTAAAGGTAGCAGGCAATCCTGATCGGATGGCCCCTAGATAAACTGGAGTGACATAAGATTAGGGGTCTCCAAGTCCTGGTGTGGCGCTGTGGCTAATGCGCCAGACTGCAAAGCTGTTTGAACTGCAAGGTCGGCTGTTCAAGCTCACCAGCTGTTCCTTGGAAACCCTATACAGAGCTGCTATGGGTCGGAATCGACTTGATGGCACTTAACAACAACAAAATGTCCTACTCTCCTCATCCTGGACCTTCAAGTACCCAAATAATCTATCTCAGAGGTGACTGCCAAATGCTCTAACCTAGTCATGTGATTCCCCATGCAGAATCTGCCAGTGGCTTCTCAAGGCCTTTGCGGTAAATGCTAAAGTTCTTAACTGTGTGTAAAAAGTACTTGACAATGACGTTTTCCTTAAGTGCACAGCTCTACTAGTTTCCAGTGTAATGGTATTTTATGACTATTAAATTTAGGAATTGACAATGTCTTTATTAATTTAGATTTTATAGATTCTTCTCTTTTGGAGACAATGTTTTTTTTCAGGACCCAAATACTAGTGCCTAAAACAGTAAAAATATGAGTACGTGGTGGTGCAATGATTAGATACTCCACAGCTAACTGAAGGGTTGGTGATTCAAACTTACACAGTGGTTCCTTGTGGCAGACCGTGTATCTAGGGCTGAGTGTAACAAATGAGGCCACTGGCAGTTAATGGAAAATTGCTTTCATCTTAATATTCAGGTATATATATTAATTTAATACACTGGAGCCTTTGAAAATCCACAGATAAATGTGATATTTTCCTAAAGCCGAGACTAAAGGTTGCAAGGTTAAACCTTTCTCCAAAGGATTAACTAAAAATATCTTAGCTACTTCTCGGTTCTTTGTTCTATAGACAAAGAACCCATCCTCCCTAATCCCTTTTCCAGGTGCAGCCCATTCACCTGGGCGTCTCCTGCAGAACTCTCACCTTCCCCCAACTGACCTCAGGGGCTATAGATATGTTAATTGGGCCTGAGAATCCAAGTTGCTGGCCTGGGATTCGAACCAGTGAAGTATGATGTAAAGTTACCTGAATGTCTGGAAAAGTACTGATGTTAGCTGTACCTTGCCTAAGTCCCTCCCAGCTTGGTGTGAAACTCCTCCCCTAAATAAAGCAGAGGCCCGGGCCTCCCCAGGTGTGCATTACTGGTTGGAAGGCATGGAGTAAAGATAGCAGTGCATTACGGGTTGGAAGGCATGCAGTAAAGATTGCAGGGCAGTGAGTTGCTGCCTGCAGAGGCCATGATGCTTGTAGTCCCAAGCCTGCCCACCAGTGATGTATCCACCCTGGCTTTGGGGTGCCTCATTGTCTCCCTTCTTCTGTTTGTCTGTGTATTCTTTCGCTATCCCTATCGCCGCTGGATCTCCCCTCCTCGTGAACCAAACACTCGTGACAACTATGTCGAGAGAAAACCCCGACAGTTCCTCAGGAGAAAGCTCTGGTATTTGGCTGCTGTAAAGATTACAGCCAAGGAAACAAAACAAACCTATGAGGCATTTCTACTCTGTGGCATGGGGTCTCTATGAATCAAAAAAATCAACCTTTGTTGTTGTTGTTAAGTGCTGTCGAGTCCGTTCTGACTCATAGCAACGTAGAGTAGGGTTTCTGAGAAGCTACTAGTGAGTTTGAATTGTTGACCTTGTGGTTCAAACTGACCTCACAGTCCTGTGCTTATCTTACAGTGCCACACCAGGACTCTTAGGATGATCCATAATATGCTTAATTGACTACATGTCATGGACTCCATTTTCAATCCATTCTTGTTCTTTAGTTAAGAAAGTGTTATTTGTGACCCACAAAATTAATTTCACAACTAGTGGTCTCTGACTTACAAAAATCTCTCTAAATCTAGTACAGCTTCCTTTTTAGCCAGAGAAAAAGTTGAAGTCCAGCAATGAGAAGGAACTTGTTCAAAGCCCCACAGATTTAGTGCGAGGATGCTGCTCATGGTGTTGGACCCACACATAGTCTCCCTCTTTCCCACTACAGTCTCACTGTTGTACTAACACTGTTGAAGCTACAGGGGGAGGCTGACTGGAATCCACAGGACAAGTCATTCTATCCATATGACTGTTGACTTTATTTCTCTTTTTTCATGAATGTTCCCCATTGGCTTCCTAGTCTTTCTTTTGTCAAGAGTATTTGCTCAGTTCTTCCAGTTGCTTATGTCTTAGTATAGAGCAGGTTCTTGTAGACATCCTATATCTCAGCATCAGAGAATCCCTAGGGCAGGAAATGAGGAATATTTATTATTACCAAGGGCAGGGGCTGCCAGATTATACTGATGTGAAGCTAGGCAAAGCCTGTACAGAACTGGTTGTAATAACTGTGGTTGGAATAAGCAATGGGATGATAGAATGGATGTGGTATATAAGAGGTGTCAGATACTAAATGAACATTTAAGTGAAAGACAAGTGGAGGAAACAAATGCCTGACTTTACAGCATAGTACTACGACTTGACTTCTTCAGTAAAGAAATCACTGTTGTGTTTTTTGTGTGTGTTTCCCAAGCCCTTTATTATCCCCTCCCCTCAGCATTTTTCTCTAACACCACAACTGATGCCTTTGAATTGTAGGTTAGCAAAGGAATATCTAATGAATTATGAACTGCTGGAAGAATGAATGAACTGGACAATGTTTGGCTCTGCTATACATAAGGTCACCATGAGTTGGAGCCAATTCAACTGCAATTAACTAACTAACAACAATAACAGCAGCAGTTATTGTTGGTGACATGTATTGGTGACATATTTAAGAATCAGTTCAGCTCTATTTGATACTTAGCTTGGCAAGACCAAGGAGTCAGACTGGGCTACTCTACATGGCTGCTACATCTTATGAGGTTATAGCATCAACAGTGAGAGAGTGCTTACTGAACACTTATCTCAATGTAAAGAAAACAAAAATCTTCACCACTGGACCAATAAACAACATTCTTATCAATGGAGAAAAGACTGACGTCATCAAGGACTTCATTCTTCTTGGATCAACTATCAACACTCACGGAAGCAGCAGTCAAGAGATCAAGTGACGTATTGAATTAAGCAAACCTGCTGCACAAGACCTTTTTAACGTGTTGAAGAGCAAAGATGTTAGCTTGAGGACTAGGGTGCGCCTGACCCAAGCCACGATATTTTCAATAACCTCATATGCATGCGAAAGCTGGACAGTGAATAAGGAAGACCGTAGAATAATTGATGTTTTTGAGTTATGGTGTTGGAGGAGAATATTGAAAGTGTCATGAGCTGCCAAAAGAACCAATAGATTCGTTTTGGAAGAAGTGCAGCCAGAGTGCTCCTTGGAGTCCAGGATGGTCAAACTTCATCTCACATACTTCAGACATATTGTCAGGAGGGAGCAGTCGATGGAGAAGGATATCATGTTTGGTAAGGTGGAGGGTCAGAGCAAAAGAGGGAAACCCCCAACGAGATGGATTGGCCAAGTGGCAACATCGATGGACACAAGCGTGGCAACAGTAGTGAGGTTGGCCCAGGATTGGGCAGTTTTTCATTCTGCTGTGCATAGGGTTGCTATGAGTTGGTACTGACTTGATGGCACCTAACAACAACAAGAAGGAACGCCTCTATAGGCCTTGTTGGTATCATCTCACAATTGTCCTATGAGGTATTAACTGCAATCATTTCATATTAGCACAATCCACACTTTCTTCCCTTGCAGAAATACAAAATATTCTGGCACCCTTGCTTGTACACACAGCTCTTACCACATCCCATGATACAGGCTTGCACAATATGTTTCTTTAACGTAAACTGAGCTATTTCGAGGAAAGTGTAGGGTACACTCAGTATTCTTCTCCAACACCATAATTCAAATCATGGGTTCTCCTTTGGTCTTTCTTATTTATCAGCTGTTTTTTGCGTGCATATGAGTCGATTGAAATTTGTCTGTCCGTATGACTGAAGCAGAAACACTAGGTTCATGTTTGTTTTGAGCTCCTGAAAGTTGTGTGACCTTGGACAGAACACTTACTCTTTGTGAGCCTTTGCCCTTAAAGTTGCAAATAATATCAGATTGTGCAAGTGCAGTCCAAGTTATCTTGCAGAAACATGGGCCCAATTTAACTGTTCTTCCATATTTGCAAAAGAAATTGTCTTAGTATGCAATGTCTCAATTTTTAAGTGGTGGCAGAAATGGAAATATTTTAAAACTCAACTAGCCATGAAAAATCCTCACCACTGGACCAATAAACAACATTCTTATCAATGGAGAAA